GCCAAAACTAAATTATTTTAAAAAATTCCTATCTGTATTCTTATCAACTTCATGGATTTCAGTGTTTAAAGCTGACATCCTGGTTATGCTAAAGCTCTATAAACTTAACAGACATACTGAGATAGTTCATAATACCACTTCAATTAAAAAACAACGTTTAAGATTGGCTACTATTTTAATTGAGAAAACCCAGTTGGATTGAACATTTGTTGACATATAATCACCTGTATGGTGACAAAGGGACATGAAATCATTAAAGGTTTAGCCTCTACTTAGTGAAAGATTACTCATAAGCAAATTTGTAAAGACTATCTGAATGACAGTGAATGATTAATGATGGGAAGAAAAAGGTGTTATTCTGTAAGCTGAGAGATATTGCCAAGAATATTCCCTTTCAATTACCCGTCACAGATGTAGAGAAAGACAGGTAAGTCAGGCTAATCTTACTGAAAAGGATAATTTTGAAGAAAGTAGCACCTAGCAAATGCCAACACTTCTAGAGATTTCTTACGTTTTTGAGATACAGAAATTTATATATTGCACTTATCTATTCTGGGGTGCTTCGTCAGGAGTGTATCCAAATCTTGAGGTTTTTTTTTCTTTGCTGTTATTGTTAGAGACTAGAGTATCAGTATATTGCTGAAACTGGACGCAAACTCTTAGGCTTAAGCTGGGATTAAAGAAAGATGCCACTATTCCCAGCTTCAAGAAAACATTTTTAAACATGCTTTCAGGCCTTATTAGATCTATTTATCAAAATCTTCAGGGGAAAGCCTACAATTTTAGATTTTTAGCTCAGGTCACTATAATATACAATTCTGAGAATTAGTGCAGCAGGCAGTCACTTCAGTCTCATCCTTCACCCACATGGCTAATTCCCTTTATCAGTTATAGATGTTACCCAAAAGAGAAACGAATAAGAGATAGAGTTATTTATTAAATCTCCATTTAATTTTCATGTGTATGAGTAGAATAGAAACAATAAACTTAAAATCCAACTTGATTTTGGTATTAGTGAGCTCCTTATCTCCCACCTTCCCATCAAGACATTCTAGATTTTAGAGGAGAGTTTAGACTCTTATCTAAGTGGCTGTTTCTGCCTGGATAAGTAGTAAGTCAGTTAATAATTTGTTTCACCTTCTGCTGAAGTGTTTCTCACTCTGTCACCACATATTCTCTGCCAATATGGTTTCCTCAGAGTCCTCCTAAAATTAATCTCTAGCCAAATTTAAACTCACTCTCTTTTTCAAACCAAAATTTATTAGCCCCAAAGCTAAAGAGCACCTTGTCTCAACACATAAACTGGAAGAACAAAAAACTTTAAAAAAAAAAAAACTCTTCTTGGCATTTTCCCTTATTACCTAATTTCCAAGTGAACTGCATATTTCTGATGGCTCTCCTTTTCCCTTCCCATTTTTCTCTCTTAAGCCTTGCCACTGAGAGATAATACATCAGTTTTTTTAGAAAATTGTCAGCAGCAGCAAATTTCCCATTTATTGTAAGCTGCTTTAGTTTTGTTTGAGTTTTAAGATAAAACCTATTTTCAGGGCACATTTTCTTTCCTGTGTTTTTTTACATTAATTAGGAAAAAATTAACCCTGCATTAAAAAAAAATTGAAAAGGTTTTACCTTTAAGAAATTCCCAAATGTTTTCCAAAGAGTATTTTAAAAAGCTGTGCCCTGTAATGCTTCTAAGTATCAATATTTAAAATACAATTTTAGACAATTATTTCAAAATTATTTTTTTATTGCATTTTAGGTTTGGGGGTACATGTGAAGAACATGCAAGATTGTTGCATAGGTACACACATGGCAGTGTGATCTGCTGCCTACCTCCCCATCACCTATATCTGGCATTTCTCCCCATGCCACCCCTCCCCAACTCCCCACCCCCTGCTGTCCCTCCCCTATTTCCCCCGACAGACCCCAGTGTGTGATGCTCCCCTCCCTGTGTCCATGTGTTCTCATTGTTCAGCACCCGCCTATGAGTGAGAACATGCGGTGTTTGATTTTCTGTTCTTGTGTGAGTTTGCTGAGAATGATGGTTTCCAGGTTCATCCATGTCCCTACAAAGGACACAAACTCATCATTTTTGATGGCTAATTATTAATTTGCTTGCATTCGGGAAATGCTTGAGCTTCTGAATACAAAAAAATTGACCCTTACCTATGTTAAGATTAAAACAAATATTTTGAAAAGAAAGTTGATTGATCTATACCTTGTCCAATGCTTCAATATTTGCATCACAAGAAAGCAGTTTTCTGCCAGTAACGTACTCTCATTATACACAGCATAATCAGCAAAATGATTATGTCTCTTCCTGGCAATGTGCAGCCTTTCCCTATTAGATCAATAAATAGAGTGTAAATTCTAACAATTCAAATTACACATTCCACAGGTTTCACTAACTAGTTATATTTAAGTGAGATAAATTTATTTTAATTCTGCATATATAAATCAAACCCATGTCATACTGAAAGAGTTTGCTACCATATACCTGTATCAAAGGCATGCTGATTTGTTACAAATGTCAACCTAGCATTTTCTGTTCACCAGGAGAGTGACTGGTTCCACACAGCCACTGGCACAGGTCAAATGTAGAGCAGCAGTTATACAAGAGTAAGAGGACTTTTTAGGAAACTGTAGTGCAATATCTCAAAACATAGAGTTATTCACATGATTGTAAACATTGAATAGCATATTTTTCTCTTCCTTCAAAACAAATACTTCATTTTTCTTGAAGAAATCACAGTATTTACTAGTTATTATTGCTCACTACTGTAATAAAAACAGCAGCCTATTTGAATAGAAAGAGCTTGGTCTTTGGATTCAGTTCAAGTAGGGCTTGAGTTATACTTTAAACTGTCATTTACCAGCTATTGCTTAGCCTTTCTGTGCCTCAACTTTCTCATTAATAAAGACAACAATAATAGCTACCTCATAGGACATCATGATGCTTAAGTGAGAAACTATGTAGTATTTAGAATAGCTGCTACAGCAACAACTCAAAAATCATTAGATTTTTGTTTTTTGAGAGAAGGTCTGACTCTTTTGCCCAGGCTGGAGTGCAATGGTGTAATCATACCACACTGTAGCCTGGAACTCCTGGGCCCAAGCTATCCTCCATCCCCAGCCTCCTGAGTAGCTGGGACTACAGTTGTGCACCAGCATGTCCAGCTACTAATTTAAAATTTTATGTAGAGTAAGGATCTCACTTTGTTGCTCAGGCTGGTCTCAAACTCCTGGCATTAAGCTATCCTCCCACCTCAGCCTCCCAGAGTTCTGGGATTACAGGTGTGAGCCACTGCACTCAGCCAGATGTATAATTCTTACTATTACTACTACTTAACAATGACATTTTAATTAAGTAAAATAGTACAATTATACCTACTTTGTAGGATGACTTAAATAGGTGACATTTTAACACCTCTAATATTGGAATGCCACCTATAATTCATGATTTATTACAACTATAATTGGTAGCATTTTAAAAATTATTTTATTGATATATAAAATAATGGGGCATCACACAATCCATGAGACCTTACGTTAAGTAGAATATGGTATACTCAGTAGGTCTAGGGCAGTTCTAGGCATATAAGTGGCACTTAAATACATTTTAGTTCTTAAAGGTACTATGGGAAAAGAGCATTGAAATAACAATAACACTTTTTTTTAAACAATTTAATTATTTGATTTTCAAACAATTTGAAGTCAAAGGAATCTCATGATTCAAATGAATAGGTATGACTCATATTTACAGAATATATGCAAATCAGACTTTCCATTAATTAATATTAGTATTTTAAAATGATAAACGTTTGAAAGGGCAGTTAAAGGTTATCTTCTATTTTCTAACTTCAGAAATTGATTTGTTTGAAAGGTGGGAAATAAAGTTTAAATGAGAATAAGTCCTAATATCCCCATTTCAAATCTCTCAGCTTGTGCAGGCAGCACAGATAAACATGAAGTTTTTAAGGATGGAAAGGTCCTGAGAAATAGTAGAATATGTCTGCTACATAATAAGTACTCAGGTTACATTTGATGAATAAATGGAATGAAAGAATGGATAAATACAGATGGGGAGTTCAATATTTTTAAATAAAATACATTCAATATAAATGTATTTCCTATAAAGCAGCATTTTTGCAATGATTACTTATATTTGTTATTGTTATTTTTAAAGAATATAAGTAAAATGAAATGATTAATCTATCATTGTTTACAACATATGGAATAAATCAACATATATAAAAACATATGTACATAATTATATACATAAAATCTGGAAACACAGATAAAAACATTCCCTTTTTATTTCTGAAGAGGAAAAAAGTTCAAATATGACACACAATGATAAAAAATATAAAGTGAGAAATTATTTTTATCTGTACAAGATTCATATTCCTCTCTCCCCAAGGATTATTCCATTAATAATAAACCCTTACTAAAAGTGTTATACATGCTCACTGTAGCAAGCACAGATAAGAAAAATGAAAAAAATAACTTTACTTAAAATACAAAGGCCCAGAAATTACAAATTTTATTATTTTGTACACTTTTTTGCTAACGCAAGACCATGGTATGTTGTGTGTATGTATAATCAAACTGATTCTTTTCTCCTTGCTGGCTATAACAAAATACATCTTCGAACATTAACATACTTCTATATCTATTGTCACATTCAGTGGCCATATATTATTCCATCCTATGGATGCAACAGAAATTTATTTATTAATGTGTCCCACATTAAAGAATTGTTTTAACCACTGTATGATATTTATATATTGTCCTGTCACTTTTGAGTGCCCCAAGTCATTTTCTACTCGGAGTGGGGAAGGCAGCTAGGTTTTCCTTGCCATCTTTCTTCCTAGCAAACAATATATTCTATCATACACTCAGCATTTCACAATATACATACACTTAGCATTTCTCAACAACTTAACATTTCTCAACAATGGAATTGATGGGTAAAAGGTATACACATTTTTTTCATGTAGTACTTGCCCTACAATGCCACCCTCTCTGCCCACCAGCTCATTGAAAATGCAGACGATATGTTCTGCATTGATAACGAAGCACTCTATAACATCTGTTCCAGGACCTTAAAACTGATCACACCCACCTATGGTGACCTGAATCACCTGGTGTCTGCTACCATGAGTGGGGTCACCATGTGCCTGTGCTTCCCGGGCCAGCTGAATGCTGACCTGCAGAAGCTGGCCGTGAACATGGTTCCATTTCCCTGGCTGCACTTCTTCATGCCCAGCTTTGCCCTGCCGAGCAGCCAGGGCAGCCAGCAATACCGGGCCCTGACCGTGGCTGAGCTCGCTCAGCAACTCTTTGATGCTAAGAATATAATGGCCCACTGTGACCCCCATCATGGCTGCTACCTAACCGTGGCTGCCATTTTTAGAGGTCGGATGTTTATGAGGGAGGTGGATGAGCAAATGTTCAACATTCAGAATAAGAACAGCAGCTACTTTGCTGAATGGCTCCCTCACAACGTGAAAACAGCCATCTGTGACATCCCACCCCTGGGGCTAAAAATGTCAGCCACCTTGATTGGTAACAACACATCCATCCAAGAGCTCTTCAATCACGTCTCTGAACAGTTTACAGCTATGTTCAGGCGCAAGGCCTTCCTGCACTGGTACATGGGCGAGGGCATGGATGAGATGAAGTTCACCGAGGCCGAGAGCAACCTTAATGACCTGGTGTCAGAATACCAGCAATACCAAGACTCCACAGCTGAGGAGGAGGAGTTTGAGGAGTGTGCTGAGGAGGGGGAGGTAGCCTAGAAGCTTCCTTTTCCAGGTAAAGTGGGGAAGCAGTGCGGATTCTTTAGTGTGTTCTGATAGCCATTGTCACTACACATTCTTTGAGTCTTTATATCCCCTCCTGCTGCATTTTAAAGCATTTTCATAGTAAGTAGTTTGGCCTAATAAAACATTCTTATAGCATCTGGTTTCACCTCCAGCTTCTTTCTATAGGCCCTCTGGGTATTGCTTCCAGATGGGCATAGTGGTCCTGTAAGGCTGCAGCTGTCTTGGGCTTCTCACATCCCAGGAGCAAGCAGTCCAGTGGCTCCTGGAGGGGTCGGCATGGGCTGTGGACATGGCAGGCAGGCTTCATGCAAACTTGGGGCTGGCCTGGGCCTTGGGCAGCTACTTCATGTGAAACCCATTTCTGAAGCAAGCCTTGGCTATTCCATGTACTGAACTTCCATGGGACCAGCTGGGCCTCTGTTTCTGAAACTTTATAAGTGGTCAGTGACCCCAGTGGACGATGTCCCCAGTGTATCATCTCAGGGTAGGAATGTGGTCAGACAGTTGGCCCTGAACCAGCAATGAAGGGTGGGCAAGTAGGGCCCCAGCCACTCCTTCACCATAATGTCCTGGGTGTGTCTATATGGCTTCATTCTCTTAATGAGTTGGGCACGGGATATCTGGCAGGGGGCTAGTGGGCAGGAATCAAGCCCACCATATACTCGCATGCAGTGAACCCCATATGGAAGGGGATTAGGTCCTGAAGGCCATAGGTGCAGTTGCTGGCCTGCGTGCTTGGGGTAGTCTCTCTCCAAAGGCACAGATAGGGGTTCTGAACAGGGCCTGGGAAGACAGGCAGGTGCTTACAAGTGCTGTTTTCCCCACTGGCAACCAGTGAGGGAAAAAAATGCCTACATGGAGGTCTGACCTGCCCCAATCTGGAGGACTGATGTTCTCTGGAAAGGTGGCTAATGGGCACTCTCCTGTCTGTCCCCCACTCCAAAACTTCAGGGCAATAATAATCCAAGATTGTCAGGATGAGACTGGTGAGGGTGGCACCTTTGGGGATAGGTTCTATAGCCTGGCACAGTCTCTTCCCCAGGCTTCTCAGGAGCCTGGACTTCAAGACCTGCTTCGAGGAAGCTGTCAAATGAGATGTGTGTGAGCTGGGTGCTGGGTGGCATGCCAGGACAGTGCTCTTCTACCTGGCTTTTGTAGAACTTGTCCATGGCCTGTGTGATAACCTCCTGGTAATACTCCCCCACCCCCCATATTGGACAAGACGAAGTCAGTCTAGCCTGGGGGTGGGTAGATGTACAGGTTCCACCCCAGGTTCCCTAGGCATACCCACCTGCCTCAGATGTATCAGGGAAAACAGGTGAGGCTCCTCTTTTTATTGTCTGAATGTTGGCAATGGGCTATTGGGGGCAAATGAGACCAGGCAAAGAGGATAGTACCTCATCTTGAAAGAAGTTTCTCCTGGAAGCAGAGGGGAGATGGGAGAGATCCGCCATACTTCCCCAACCTGTTCTTGGAGCAGGAAAAGGGGCCTCTCTGACAGCCCTCCTCAGTGGCTGTCACCCTTTGAGGGGTATCCTTGACCAGCCCAGCCCAGGCACACACCCACCTGAGATGACCTTTCATGGATCCAGTTGGGAAGGTTCAGTTGCAGTAACCACCGCAACCTGCTCACACCTAGTGTCTCCACTTGAACATGGGGTCAGATGCACCTTCCTCCTGTAGCAGTAGTGGTACAGCCGGAGTGACAGAGGGGCAAGTCACTACTGCAATTCTCACCTGAGTCTAAGTAGGGGTTGGGCTTGGTACTCACGTATTTCCCAATTACCTGGTTCCATCTGAGGGTTTTATGGATAGGAGTGGTGCTCTTACAGGCATCGTATCCATATGCTAGTTACAGGCTTGGGTTTCCAAAGTTTCTGGAGTCCCCCTTTCAGCCTGGCAAGCATGGTGAATAATAGGGGAAGGACGTTAAGCCTGAAGGCAGCAGTACCTGTCTGGGTATGTTCTCTACCCCTGGAGGCTCCTGGCCCCTAGTTGTTTACTTCCTTGGGTGAGAGTCAGCTTATTATCTCAATATTCTTGTAGGACTTCAGAACTGTACAGACAGGGGCCAAGGAGGGAGCAGCATCTGGAACCAGCAACTAACCATTGTAGTGGGGGTCATAGGACTCAGCTCGGTCTCAGCAGGGAATTCAGGGAGGCTTGGATTTGCTGAAGCCCTAGATGAGCTTGGGCTTGGATATAGGGATGACGTGGAGCAGGGGCCCTTCCGCATGCTGGAGTCTTTGAGTAGTTGCACCCTGGTGTGTTCCCCACCTGGAGTGCAGCTGTGGATAGAAGCTGGCATCGTTGTGGAGGGAAGAGGAGGAGGAGGCAGGTTGAGTCTCCAGGGCAGCCCCAGCAGCCAGGAAGGGACTCTGCAAGTGAGACGCAGATCCGGCCTGTGGGTCACTTAGCAGCTGCTTGGCCAGCTGCAGATCACCTGACCTCTGCTCACCAGTAAATGGGGGTTGCAGCAGCACTTACCTTCTGGGACTCCTGTGACTTAAAGGGAGAGCATACATCATGTGCTGAGAATGCACCTGACTCAGGCAAGCTTCTCCAACAGCACCACATCAGATTAACGTCCAACCTGTACAGGACAGCATCAGATCTCCCTATTCCTCATTGTAACTGTAATAAAAGGGAATCTCTGTCCTAGGGGTGTAAGCACAGGCATATTTGTGCAGTGGGCACATGACCCAGGTGGGGGAAAGGTCCTTGGATACATGCTGGTTTCACTAGGAAGCTGTGGTGTGGGTTTGGCCTGGACTCTACCCCTGGAGGCCAGTAGCCCCCTGCATGGGACCAGGACTGGGAGGTGGGTGGGTGGGCTGAGCTTTGAGGGAAGCTATTGTTTGGCCTCATGGGAAGGTGGTTGTTGATGGTTCAGTTTTGCAGGGCTTGTGTGATCACCCAAGGAGTGCAAATTGCCTTAAAAAAAAAAAAATTGACACAAGCTCACCAGTTGAAAAGGTAATGCTGGTAGTCGTCTTCACCTGCCTTTTCCCCAGAAGTAAGTGGTGTTCAGAGGTGGATTTGGTTCCTTCCCAGCCTTTCCCCTTTGCATGTCGCTGTGTGTATGTACTCAGGTGTGTACACACACACGTTTCCTGGCAGGGTAACTTTTTTTGTTTGGGGGGAATAACTGGTGATGCAACCTGGCATTTGCTTACCTTGTCTTTTAATTTGGAGTCCTCTATAGAGTGGGCATCGGGTACTTACTAGCCGGCCTTAGCTGTTTGGCTGCCCCAGTTTCTGCTCTTCACAGACCTGCTGGCCACCCAGTGTGACATTAAGTGGGCTTGTTCACAGCTAGCATGATGAGACTAGTGAATAAGCTTGCAATTCCTTGGCAAGGAAATGGATGGTAGGTTAAAAAGAGCTTCAAATCAAAATTAATGGCAGAATAGTAAGATAAGAAGTTGGATATATTCTTCAAAGAAGTTCCTTTGTTATGACTGCATAGTATTCCATGGTGTATATGTGCCACATTTTCTTTAGCCAGTTTCTTTTACAGACTTTGACTGAGAGTGTGGAGATCAATACTCCCAGAGGCAAGACCAGGTTAGCAGTGAAAGGGTGGGGGAGTTCCAGTGTTTAAAAAGTCCTTGTCTTACATCAGTAACACTTCAGTCCATTCTTAGCTCTACTTTTGCTTTGTCATTGAGGCTTTGGTTCCATGACCACAGGTAATTGTCCCCTCCAACCATTTCTTTTTGTTTGTCCTCCAGCTGTTAGTGACAGACCTTGCTTTAATAAGAAGCAAGGGTTAGGACAGGAATTTCTCATCACACTGTGGGTGCATATCTTGTGTGCATGTGTGCAGAAGTATGTGCTTGGTTTGCTCCTGAAATTTTTGAGGTGAGCCTATGATCAAAAGCCAGACATAACAGTATTAAGCAAGTGACCTGTGATTCTGAGTTATCTTTATGTCAGCATTCCTTTCTCAAGGTACTGAAAGAAGACATGTTTCCCTGCTTTTTAAAAAACCTCTGGTTAGGCCTGAAGGGGAGAACCTACTGATTAGAGAACTGTTAGTTTTCAAAAGGCCTCACTGCCAGTGGAAAGGGGAGAAAAAGAAAAAATGACCCCGCAGAAAGCAAATGCTCTGATGATTCATGCATTACTGGCAATTTTTTTGCATAAGAACTAAAAACTAAACACTGCTTGAGGCTCAGAATTTCTCAGGGGGAAAGGATAAAAGGTTATTTTCCTCTGAGGACAACACCTAATATTTGCACCACAGGGTAAAGTAATTTTCACAAGTATTATTTTGTTTGCCCATTTTCATCCTCAGGCTGAATTAGACTTTACTTTTCATTTTTGATTGAATCTGTCTTTGCTTGAGCAGTGGTTGGCAGAGGTTCTTCATATCCCTTGTTACTTGTATTTCTAGGTATTTTATTCTCTGTGTAGCAATTGTGAATGGGAGTTCACATGATTTAGCCCTCTGATGGCTACTATGGGTGTATAGGAATTCTTGTGATTTTTACACATTGATTTTGTATCCTGAGACTTTGCTGAAATTGCTTATCAGCTTAAGGAGATTTTGGGCTGAGACGATAGGGTCTTGTAAATGTACAATTATGTCATCTGCAAGTAGAGAAAATTTGACTTCCTCTTTTCCTAATTGAATGCCCTTTATTTCTTTTTCTTGCCTGATTGCCCTGGCCAGAACTTCAATACTATGTTGAATATGAGTGGTGAGAGGGGGCTGATAGAAGTTTTCTGAGTGACCCAGAAAGTCCTCAGTATGAGATAATGTGGTGGGAGATGCAGCGAATCCATTACATCTCTGCTGGAATTGCTTTCTGGAGACTTTGAGATGTCAGGGTTGAAATGTCACACAGGAAGTCACTGGGCTGGTAGATAACTAGAAGAGGGGGAGAGTTAGTCCTGATTTTGTACCTTGGTTCTGCCATTTACCAGTTCTGCTGCTCTTGCTAGGGAGATTATGTTAACATACTAGC